TAATACCGATAACTAACACACAAATGTGAGAATTAGGAGAGTTAATACACGTCATTTACTAACTGCACGCAGGAAGCACTCACTAAATCGGATCAGCATCAGCTCTGACCTTGGGGCAGACTTCAGGTAGAGCCACTGAGCTATAAGGAAAGGCTACTTCCTGCCCCCCACCCCTAATTCTGAGTCTCAGAGTCAGATTCCCTGCCCCAGATGCCCAGAAACTGTCACAGATGCAGCCAAGCACGCAGTCTGGGGTGCAGGCTGCTGTAGAATCCAGGGGCTTGAGGGTCTCATCAGCTGAGAGTGCGTCCCACCCTTCTGCCTCCACCCTTTACAGCCTAGAAAGGAAGGTCAAGGAGCTGTCTGCTATCACTGGGCTCTAACTGTAAATTCCAGCCACAGTTTGATGCCACCCTTTCATTCTACTTGCGAACATTCTTCTTCAAAAGTTCTATCTTTCTGAATAACATGATTAAAAAAAAAAAAGCAGAACCTTCAAGTCTTTGGCCTGAGTTTTCCATTTTGTGTCCAGCTTCTTTTTCTTCCTCCTCCTCTTTTGTTTATTAATAGCTTCCCTTCTGTGTAACATCATGCATTTGCAGGTGTTAAAAAAGATATTGATGGAGCGCCTGGGTGGCTCAGTCGGTTAAGCGTTGGACTTCAGCTCAGGTCACGATCTCGTGGTCAGTGAGTTCTAGCCCCACAAAAGGCTTTGTGCTGACAACTCAGAGTCTGGAACCTGCTTTGGATTCTGTGTCTCCCTCTCTCTCTGCTCCTCTCCCAATCGTGCTCTGTCTCTGTCTCTCAAAAATGAATAACATTTTTAAAAAATTAAAAAGAAAAAAAGATATTGTTAGAGGTCTGGTAATTATTCCGAAGTTGAATATAGCCAGAGAAAAGACATGACTGAGTGGCAGATCCCCCAGGAGCAGAGCACTCTCGCCCAGGATCTCACGTGGAAGCTTCCAATGTGCCATTTGTGTCCCAGCGCCTTTGAATAGACTCTTGGTTCCCTCAGTCTTAGATCTTCTCTTCCTGTTCTTTATTTTTAAGACTTCATTTCTTTAGCTTAAGGTTCATAGCAAATGGAGGGGAAGGTACAGAGATGTCCCACATATACCCTGTCCCCACACATACGCAGCCTTCCCATTGTCAACTTCCCCCACCAGAGTGGCAAATTTGATAAGCCTACACTGACACACCATCATCACCCAAGGCCCACAGTTTCCACTGGGGTTCACTCACCTAAGAGTGAACCCCATGGTTCATTCCATGGGTTTGAACAAATGTATAATAACATGTATCCATCCACCGTATGGCATCATACAGAGTATCTTCACTGTCCCCCAAATCCTCTGTGCTCTGCCTATTCACCACCTCATCCCAACTCCTGACAACTAGTGATCTTTTTACACTCTCCATTTTTTTTTTGCCAGAATTTCATATAATTGGGATCATACAGGATATAACCTTTTCAGATTGGCCTCTTTCACTTAGTAATATGCATTTAAACTTCTTGGTCTTTTCATGGGTTTGTAGCTCATTTCTTTTTAGTGCGGAATAGCATCAATTGTCTGGATGTACTAGTTTATTTATCAACTCACCTACGGAAGGCCATGTTACTTTCAAGTTTTGGCAATTGTGGATAAAGCTGCTATGATCATCCATGTGCAAGTTTTTGTGTGGACATGTTTTTAACTCCTTTCAGTAAATACCAAGGGGCACGACTGCTGGATTGTATGGTGAGAATATGGTTTAGTTTTGTAAGAAACCACCACACTGTCTCATGAGGTGACTGGTACGGTTTGCATTCCTACTGGCAAATGAATGAAAGTTCCTGCGCTCTACGTCCTTGCCAGAATTGGTGTCAGTGAACCAGATATGGGCTGTTGTCATAGGTGTGTAGTAGTATCTCATTGCCTTAATGTGAATTTTCCTTAGGACATGATATAGACCATCTTTTCATTTGCTTATTTGTCATCTACACACCTTCCTGAAGAATCTATTCAGGTCTTTGGCCCATTTTCTAATAAAGCTATTTATTCTGTCATTGTCAAATTCTAAGAGTTCTTTGTATATTTTGGAGAACAGACCTTCACCAAATGTGTCTTTCATCATTTTCTTCCAGTCTTGGCTTGTCTTCCCATTCTCTGGGCATTGTCTCCAGAAGAAGTTTTGTGATTTCAATCAAGTCCAGCTCATCGATTCTTTCTTTGGATCGTGACTTTGATGTTGTAACTAAAAAGCCATCACCACACCCAAAGCCATCTCAATTTTCTCCCATATTATCTTCTAAGAGTTTTATAGTTTTATATTTTACATTTAGTTGTGTGATCTATTTTGAGTTAATTTTCGTGAAGGATATAATCTGTCTAGATTTTTTTTTTCTTTTTGCATGTGGGTGTCCAGCTTTTCTAGGACCGTTTGTTGAAAAGACTCTCTTTGTTCCACTTTATTGCTTTTGCTCCTTTGTCAAAGATCACTTGACTATATTTAGGGGGATGTATTTCTGGGCTCTGTATTCTGTTCGCATCATGGATTTGTCTATTCTTGGACCAATACCACACTGTCCTGATTGCTGCAGCTTTGCAGAAAGCTTTGAAGTCAGGTAGTGTTAGTCTTTGAACTTTGTTCTTCTTCAGTATTGTGTGTTTACCTTTTGTCACTTGTTGATATTTGCACTGATTGTGCGAAAGTCATGGTAGGTAAAATTGTATCTTAGTATGATCAAGGTAGCAGCACCAAGCTATTCTTATACTCATCATATTCATTACTGCCTCCACATAAGTACTTTTTTCATCTACCCATTTCACTTAGAAATTATCCTTGAGGAAGCAGTAAAAATGATGAACTGTTAAATACTGACGCTTTAGGAGATATCTTCTTTTCATGTTCTGAGTGCTGGAATGAGAATTGGCGCTGCTGCTGCGTGCTGACTAGGAAGGGTGTCAGTTTCAAGAAAAAAGCACTCATGTGATTGTATGAATTGCAAAGGGAACTCATTACTTCCCATAGAAGACTATTTTCGCTTGAGAGAATAATTGACAGGAAAACTATGGTTACTGAGACTGAAGTATTTGGCAGACATTGTCACAAAAACAAAGTGAGCTTGTCACCTCAAGGAAAACAACTGACAGTATTTGTTGCCAATGATAAAATTTGAGCTTTCAAGCTGATGACGACATCAGAAGCAATATTAATAAAATTCGTTATCATATGATGAAAGATGTCAACATTTTGGTAATTTGCATAACTCAGTGAGATAGATCAATATCTTATTCCTGGGGCACCTGAGTGGCTCAGTGAGTTTAGCGTCCAACTTCCACTCAGGTCATAATCTCTCAGTCCATGAGTTCAAGCCCTGAGTCACGGTCTGTGCTGACAGCAGCTCAGAGCCTGGGACCTGCCTCAAATTCTGTGTCTCCGTCTCTCTCTGCCCTTGCCCTGCTCATGCTCTGTCTCTCCGTCTCTCAAAACTAAATAAACATTAAAAACAAATTTTATCTTATTCCTTCTTATTCCTAAAAGTGGAAGCTGGGTATAAGCACTCAGAAGTCTTGGTTTGAATCTAGGGCCTGCCATTTACTTGCTACTACAGCTCCATGGTACTGTAAAAAATGAGTTTCCTCTGTTTTCTCATCTGTAAAAAGGATATAATACCGACCTCATAGAGTTGCATAAGGACTGAAGAAATCATATATAACAATAAATATTAATGTATACTGATAAGGATATATAGAATGATATTTTAAAAGTGCTTGGCACATGGTAAATATTGTACAAGTGTTTGCTATTATTATGATTATTACCACTATCTTCATCATCATTTTAAATTTTTTTTTAATGCTTATTTATTTTTGAGACAGAGAGAGACAGAGCATGAGCAGGGGAGTGAGGGAGACACAGGATCAGAAGCAGGCTCCAGGCTCTGAGCTGTCAGCACAGAGCCCGACATGGGGCTCGAACCCACGGACTGAGATCATGACCTGAGCCGAAGTCGGACACTGAACCGACTGAGCCACCCAGGCGCCCCTCTTCATCATCATTTTAGGTGGAAGGACCCTGACATCACTATTCTCTAGAGCATAAGATTTCAGGGCAAAGGCTCTGGTAATAAGTATTTCTGGGTTCAGATCCTGGCACCACTTACTTGTTAGTGATCTTGGACAAGTGATTTAATAATATAGTGACATCTCATGTGATTCTTATCAGAAATAAATGAGATCATGCATGTGAAATGCTTAGCTCAGGACATAATACATTAGGTTAACTCATTTGGAATAGTAATAGGAATTCAAAAAATATCTCTTAAATTGCATAAAATCATATCACAATGTGATGATATTAAAGCTTTCAGAAGGCTTTACAGGTTTTTGTGATACTTTCAAGAAATGAGATTGGTAAACCAGCTCTTTCAAAACAAACAAACAAACAAACACAGAAGCTCTGAGTTATAACATCACCTAACTTCTGTGGTACAAATACTCCCACCATTACCAATTTCAAGCTACCAAAATGAGAGACCACTGAATGCAGAACTGGGCAAAAATTCTCACGACTGTCGCCTGCAAGCTGGTAGGAGCCAGCTCCAGCACACCACTACTTTAAAGCATACTTTGAAAAGATATCAAGGTTTGAAAAGATAACACTTCCTGTGAGAATCCTATTCACCAGGAAGTTACACAAGAGCAGAAAAGCCTAAGGAAACTGAGTTTCTGGGGACTTTGGAAATCTCTTGACTTCTCACTAAATCCCTTAGAACTTGACCCATTCATGGCACTGATGGAAACAATACAACTCTCTATGGAGTTTTAATAGTTGCAAAGGATATTGTGACAAGGAATTAAAACTTAAAATTAAAAACTTAGTCTAAGATGTAATTTAATCTGAAAATACAGGTTTTGCATGATTTCATTTAGTACAGAATAAAACTTTCCTTCCAGTATATTCTGTCCAACTATGAAATTTATTTAAAATTGTTTAGAAAGGAGTAAGCCAACTTAAAAAATAAGAAAGCCAAAAGACTGCTGGGCAGTTAACATACTCTGGTTCCAAAGTGGAGGAAAAGTGAGGCAAGGTTACATAGTGAAAATAGAGAAAGCAAGATAAAGGGAAATCACCCATGACAATCTGTCATATTAGCCACTAAGCATTTCAACATCTGCAACTGAAAAGTCACAGAAGTCAAAAATAAAAACAAAAAAGACTCCTAGGACCACAGACTGCCTGATGTTATTAGAGTATTTAGCCCTCTGTCCATTTCATGTAAAAAATAAATTAAGTATAAATAAGGAGGTGAGGGAGCTGATGTGTACTCAGGTGTGCTGACAGGTATGTACTCAGAAAGGGCATGAGAAGAGGGCTGGACGGCTTTCCTCTCCCACCCTTCCTACACAAAGCTCTCCTCCATGTTGCTGCAGAGTAAGAAAGAGTCCACAAGCCGGGGCTGGACCAGTTGCTGGAAGTCGGAGTCTTGGAGGCCTTCGGGGCAGACCCCAGCCAGTCTACGCAGAGCAGCCTGGGGAGAAACAGAAGAAATGACAGAGGTCACACCAGGCTCTGCTCAGCTGCATGTATTTCCTTCAACAGCCCTGGGAAGTACATTTTGGGAAGTGGCTCATTTGTCAGTCAATTTGAGCTAATCATCACCTTGATCACTTGACACCTTAGTGATATAGTCCTTTTGGTCACCTGGTCACTACAGTAACCTTATCACTCGGTCATCTGATGTCATTGGTACCTTGGTCATTATGGTAGGTGTCATCTAAAAGCCTTCATGATCTTAATAATGAAGATTGGGGGCGCCTGGGTGGCTCAGTCGGTTGAGCGTCCGACTTCGGCTCAGGTCATGATCTCGCGGTTCGTGGGTTCGAGCCCCACGTCGGGCTCTGTGCTGACAGCTAGCTCAGAGCCTGGAGCCTGTTTCAGATTCTGTATCTCCCTCTCTCTCTGACCCTCCCCTGCTTGTGCTGTCTCTCTCTGTCTCTCTCAGAAATTAGTAAAACATTTTTTAAAAAATAATGAAGATTGAAGTTCATAGTGAAGTTCAAGATTTGTTCATGCTAGTGACTGTAACCACAAGAAGCACCAGTGGAATTATTATTTTATATTAATATAATTATTATATTATAATTATATTAATTATAATAATTATATTAATTATTATATATTATATTATATATTATATATTATAATTATATATTATATATTATATATTATAATATAATTATCCTTGCTTCCAGGTCCCTAGAGTAACCTGAGACTAGCGCGGGCTATTTATTTACCCATAAATTTAGCAAAGTTCTGACAACGCATCATGGGATGGGGAAGTGGGAAAAGAGAGAGGAAGGAAGGTCATAGAGCTGCAGGAGATGGAGAGTCTGACACCAAGGTGGAGATGAGCAGGAGAAGTGGGGGCAGAATGTACACCACTGCCCAGTCCCCCCTACACGGGGCATTTCACTCTTCCCTGAGTGCACTATCCTGTTTTATGTCTGTGTGCCCTTGCTCAGCTCTTCACCATGACACAAAGTCCTTCTACCCTCCTCCACTCTTTTCTAGCCAGCAGGTGCATTGATCCTGCGGGGCCTGGCCCACCATCATCTCTTCTGTGAAACCTTCCCAGATTCCTTAAAACAGAGGCAGCCCCTCCTTCCTCTGTGCACCCACAGCCCCTGGGCTGACCTCAACCGTCTCACCTTTGGCTGCACCTGGCGTGTAAGTGTTTGTCTCCCATACTAGACTCTGAGCTCCTCAAAGATAGAGACTCTTTTATTTTTCTCTGTATCTATAGCAGGTAGAACAAGGTTTGGCACAGGACTCAATAAATGTTTGTTAAAAGAAAACTCAAATGAAGTGCTTTAAAATACGAGTTCTATCACTAGAGCAACCTGAAACTGTAAAGGTAGCTTGTGCACCGAGCTAGACCTCTTTACCAGTCAGCCGAGGTAGTGTGTACTAAGAGCTCAATACGTATGAATACCTTCCTTCTTCTTATACCTGAACACAGCAAGGTGAGAGCATAAGGGTGCCTTTCCCCTGGGAAACAAAAAGAGGAGACTATCTGGATGGCAGAAGAAACTAAATGAATGAATGAATGAATGGATGGATGGATGAATCAATGAATCAATAAATAAATGGAATACCAACTGCATATCTACACATAGTATTTCATTTAATCCATCCAGGATACTACAAGGTAAGTGTCATGATCTTTAGTTTGAAAATAAGGAGACAAAGGCTCAGTGAGGGAAAGGGGCCTTCCCGAGATCACACAGCAATCCCCCTCCAGGACCCGCATACTCATACACACAGGCAGGATGCTGCAAGTCCAGGACACTGGCTTATTACATTGAGGACAAGGCAGGCAGAGAGCTTATTATATACATTTATTGCTGAGAAATCACCAAGCTGGTGAAAAGAGAAGAAGGCTTACATTGGCTGTTGGATAAACGGGTGCTGCCATGTCTAAGCTGGGTCAAGAAAAAGGGACATGTGTCTCTATGCAAGTAAGAAGGGTCTGGAACCTAGTGATAAGTAGACTAAAGGAGTCTGTCCCGAACTCGTGTGTCCCACCTCTCATTGATCAGGTTCCCCCTAAAGACTAAAGAGGTTGAAGGGTGCTTGGGTGGCTCAGTCAGTTAAGCATCTGATTCTTGATTTCAGCTCATGTCATGATCTCACAGTTCATGGGTTCGAGTCCTGCACTGGTTCCAGGCTAACAGCACAAAGCCTGCTTACGATTCTCTCTCTGCCCCTCCCTACTCCTATTCTCTCTGTCTCTCTCTGCCTCTCTCTCTCCTAAAATAAATAAATAAACTTAAAACAAAAATAAAGAGGCTGAACTCCATAGCATTTTCTGATTCCTCTTGGCTCCAACTGGAGAACAAACTCCATTAGTATAAAAAAGGAATAAAAATGGACACAGATCTTCAGGAGAGAAGGCTATGAGCCACTGATGTATGTAACCTCATCAGGGGTTAAAATAAAGCAAGAGAGAGGAAGGGACAAAGAAAGATGAAGAAATGGGGAGAAAACAGACTCACGAGGAGAGAGAATGAGGTAGAAGAAGAAAATAGAGAGGCAGAGAAAGAGAGACAACAGAGAAATGGAACAAAAAGGAAGAGTCAAAACAGAGAGACAGAGATGAACTGGTGAAAGAAAAGAGATCAAGCACGAGAGGGAAATGGAGAGAGAGAGAAATGGAGACAAAGAAAAAGAGGGAGCACCCGGGGGTGGGGGATGGGGATCAAAGGAGGGGCCACAAAGGGAGGTGGGGGCAGGAGTTGGAGAAGACTGAGGAGATAAAAGAAGGTGAGAAAGAGAAAGAAGGAAAGATGGGGAAAAAACCCCGAGAAAGGAGACAGCTTTTAGAGGAGAGAAAAGCAAAACATAAAATGAGAGAGGAGAGAAAAAAGGGAGAAGAGGGAGAGAGGGAGAGGAAAAGAGGAGATGAGCTAGAAATAGACCTGAGAAAACACCAAGGCAAATAGACACCCTCATCTTCCCAGGGTTCCCAGAAAGACTGCAGGACAGGAACCCAAACCAACCCCGAGCGCCCCCTACTTAGCGTCCTGGGGCTCAAGGACTTTCGCCCTTCTGAGGCCTTTCTCTGCACTTCTGCTTCCCTCAGAGGGTTAACAGCCAATCATCCCAGGATCTCATTCCCAGACAGTCTGAAAACACCCAAGCATTAAACAAGCCCAGCAGCCCACTGACAGCCGTCTCATTAAGGAAAAATCAATTCTGTTTGCAAGAGGCAATCTGCACTGCCACTTTCCCAGATGTGGGACACGATAATTGAAATGTCCTCCCTCCACCTGAAGAGAGATTTTGAAGCCAGGAAGAAGGCCTTGGGGAAGGCAGGAGAGGTAGTCTCTGACTCCATCTGCCAGGCCAGGCTTCTAGTGGCCCTCATCTCAGTAGCCAGGGGACCACACTCCAATGTGGAGCCCCTTCTGGGAGCCAAACCAAGAACAGCCACCAATTCTGGGGCCCAGGGGTGGGGTGAAAAAGCTACCAGTCCTTCAGGCAGGCAGGAAACAGTCAACAAACCCAATGTCCTATGGAGATACTAAGACCTGGGAAAGGGGCCCAGCCCTATGAAGGTTCCAGACTAGAGGGAAAGAAATACAAATACCTGCCATGAGCCGAGGTAGCAAGACCAGGGCCCTTAGACATGGGGTAGAAAACGTGGCAGGAAACGAGATGATCTGGCCAAGAAGTCAAGATCTTCAGCATTAGGCCTGTGTTTGAATTCCAAGAGCCTCCCCTTGGAACACCAGGTAACACAACCTATCTCCTACTGAAGAAAAACAACAAAATCCAGACCAGCAGGCCCAGGTGCATGCTGTCTTTGAGCCATAGACAACCCCCAGGACACTCTATAGAGGAGAGGGATTTGGGTCCGAGATTGCAGAGGCTGCTGGCAAAGCTGTAGCATGGGCATCTGCTGAGGACAAGCAAGGGCCATGGCACATGTCATGGTGGCTCACAGCACTCTGGCCTAGACAAGCTGATCAGGGCCTGTAGCCCCCAGGGGTACTGGAGCCAGACAGTAGGCCCTAGATGGTGGAGAATCACGGAAGGGCTGATCGTGTCAGTGTCATGATTGTAAAATTAGGATTAGCCCAGCAACCACATGGAGGGTGGGTTAGGGAGGGAGGGGCTCTCTTCAGCATCCAACGACCCATCCTCGGGGAGAAATGTAATCCCTTTTCCACTAGAAAGTCCTGCAAGTGATGGGTGATGGTAGCCAAGCCCTTCTGTGTGTTTTACTTCAAACGAATAACAAAAATAGAAAAGGAATTGTGACAAGCCCACATATATGAATGGAGCTTTATGGCTTCCCACCATTGCCTCAGGGCCTTGTAGTGCTGGGCACCTGTGGGCTGCCCGAGTGTGCAGATAATGGTAGTTGGGACCAATGACTGTGTTTGCCTGGCATTAACCGTCTCCACTTGACTCACTAAGTCAGACAGAATTAAGAAGGCCTGTGAACTTGGAGGAAAAAATTACATCATTATGCTTATTAACTTCTCCTTCAGTTATGAATGCAGCAACCCACCACGAAGTCTCAGCAATTCCTATGACTGGTGGACCAGTAAAAATCACACATCCTTTTATATCCCACTACACTTGTTGGAGGTACCTTCAGATATCATTTATGCTCATTGCTAGTCAAGGTTACAATACTCATTACACCTACTGCTCTTATTTAATGTGTTGATTAAAAGTACATATATTAATATACCATGTATATAAATACTCTAATAATTATTTTAATAGAATTAGTTTTCTTCTTAATTCTACATATTTTGGGATATGCATTTAAAACATTATTCTTAGGAGGGAAACAGAAGCTTTGCCAGATTGCCAAAGGCACAAAAATGTTAAGGGTGTTCTGCCTGTACCAGAATCAAAGCCGCATGAGAGCAGAGATGTTTGTCCTTATTTTGCCCCACAGCTGAATCTTCATGGCTTAGAAGCATGCATGGCACATAGAATCACTTGGTAAATATTTACTGAATAAGGTTTAGAAGCACTTAATGACCCACCTAATGTCACACAGCTCATTAATGGCAAAACCAAGACAGGTGTGTCTGACTGTAATGCCCTGCTGTCTCTATGACCATATGATGCCCATCAGGAGCTCCCAGAAAAGAGAAGAGCTTAGTCCAAAAAATGATGGGGAGAGGAGGGGGTTTTCTGTGAAACATCTTGAAGGGCCTTCAGATCCATTACTTTCCCCTTGCGAATGTTCTTTGAGGACCGACCAAGAATCTGGCACTCCCTTCTGAGAGTCCAACAGCCTGTTTATACAACGGCTCCCCTGCTCCTCCGTGCTCCCAACTGGAAGAGCTCTGCTTTGGGATTCAGCGGAGCCCCAGCAGGGAGGAATGCAGAGACAAAGCACGCATTCCCATCCGGTACGGTTCATTCTTTCATGGTGGACACAAGCAGCAAGGAGCCGTTGGGTGAGGACCTCCTGAGACGCCCTTGCTGGGTTCAGGATGAAGACCCTGGTGAATAGCTCTCTCTGTCCTGTTCTACCACCACCATCAGTTCTACTCCACAAAGGTCAGGGGAGCTAGAAAGCTGGGAGAGCAAAGGGGCTCTGTCCGAGAGCAACGAGGGCTTTCCTCAACGTCCCCTTTGGAACAGGCAGGAGACACCCATCCCCTAGTTCCCATTCAAGTGCACACCATGGCATTACCGACACCACCTAGCCTTCTGTCCACCAGCCACGCTGGTCTTCATCTGCTGTTAAGACTCCTCAGAAACTCAAAGGTTTACGGTTACTAAAAGCATAGGTGGGGGTTCCCCAAGTCCCCATCTTTCACATATATGACTTCATATAATTTTCTTCACAGCTTTATGAATGAAGTGAAACACTGTTAGCACCATTTTAAAGAGAAAAGTTGGCTGCAGAGACGTCTCATGGCTTACTCAGGCCAACCAAGGTATCGCCGCTTCTCCTGGCCCCTGGTCTGCAACCCCAAAGCCCAGGGAGGGAGTAGGGGAATACAAGGAACTCACCAGGCAGGCCACAAGCACGGCATCACTGCTGTTCCTCTCAGAGGGTGATCTGCAGAGCTCGATGAGCCGGGACATACCTGCGTGAGACACACAGGAATGTCATGCCCAGGATGCGGAAGGGCCTGGCCAGGCCGGACCCAGAGGTGCCTCCCTTCCCTCACATGGCCCTCTGCATGGGGCACTGTGGAGGCAGCCAGGACCCCACCAGCTCACCAACTGGCCAGGGAAAGGGAGCTGAATCTACCTGGAGGAGCTTGTGGTGGAGACCTTCTGTCCCCTTGGGTGTAAACAGACCCTGGTCAGGGCCAGCCATAGACCCTGAGCTTAGTAAAACCGCAACAGAATGTAACTTCCTATGTAAGTACTTCTGATTTTTCCAGAACTATATTTCGTGTTTACATCATTATTAGTGGGACTTCCCAATACCGTTTTTTCCCCAATTGCCTATTTCAGTAGGAAATTATAATGTGGCTTAAATTACAGAAAACTACAGATTGAGAAGGCTGATGGTTCCTAGTTCCTTACAGAGGAAAAGAAAATAAACATCTTTGCTTTTCAATGTAAATTGTATTTCAATGCAAATTGACAAACTCTGAAAAACAAAAACAAAACAAAAAGCTAACTTTTTTTTAACACCTTAAAAGGTGTTAATAAAAGGTGTACAGACACATTCTGTAGGTTCATCTTCTACAAAGTCTTTCTCGAGCCAGAACCCAGGGCCACCTCTTGCCATTTGCTTGGCATCAGCAGGACGGGTGACAGTACCATGGCTTATCTCATGCCTCTGCCTGGAGCACCCTTTCTCAACCATCACATTGGAATAATGCTTCAAACCACAGCTGAAGACTCACCTCTTGCTAAAACATTCTTCGACCCACCCAGGTAAATGTGAGCTACCTCCGCTGTGGGCCAAACGTGCCATGGACATGCTTTGAACTTTGCTTTATGGTATTCAAGTGCACCTTTTTCTTTCCATATCTGCCACCCTGCCAGGTCATAAACCCCTGTGGTCAGGACGATGTTATAGTCAATGGGATATACCTAGCGCTCGGAACAGAGTCTAACACAGAGTAAGTACTCTGAGAATATGAGTTGGGGAAATGTGACTAATTGAATGAATAATTCAATGAATGAATGAATTAACAGTGAATAAATCAAGTAATGAATGAGTTAATAAATGAACTAAAGGATGAATTAATGAGTGAACAGATGAATGAGCAGGTAAATAAACAAATGAGGAAGTGAGTAACTGAATGAGTGGATGAATGAGGAAAGGAACAAGAGAATGAAAGAATAGGGTCCTTAGCAGGAAGTCTGCATGCGAATCGCTTTTTTATCCAATGTTAGCCTCTCTAGGCCCCTCTCCTCTCTAGCTTCAGCCCCAGCTTACAAGCTAGATGAGGGGCTACACCCTGGGCCCCTGTCACAGCATTTTCTGGCACCCCGAGAGTGAGAGCACAGCTCACCTCAGCCCCACCTTTGCTCTGAGCCATCTGTCGCTGCCACCATGAAATCAGGGGTGCCGCCATCCCCAAGCCCGCCTCCCCACCCTTGCCACGGCCAGCACTTACAGCTCAGCCGCACGGCTTCCCGTGCCACAGCTGGGTCTCGGCTGAGACGGGCCAGGGTCACGGCAGCCTTCTGCTGGACTCGCTCACAAGCCGCCACCTCGGCAGGGGTTCCAGACCTTGGCTTCTCGGACAGCATGCCCATGATAAGCTGGACCCCTGGGTGGGAGATAATGAACAGTTGGTGCCTGCCCCAGCAAGGTGCTTTCCGCCCCCGGGCCCAGCGACATGGATGGCTGCAAAAGCTTAAGACTTAGGGGGTCACAACCACAGGAAGGAAGCTGGACAAGGCCATTTCTACTCCATCTGCCCTGAAGATATCTGATGCCATGTACTGAGTCACTATGCTTAGAACGAACACCGCGAGGTCCCTTTTGCTTTTTTAAATGCTATTTCTGAGCTTTTATTACACCTGTGATGCTGCACTAAATGTCCAATAAATGCATGATTCCCTAATAGTCTCCCAATAGACTCATGAACTAGGTACTAATGTAATTCACTCTGAGGCCCAGAGAGAAATGAAGTCTCTTTTCCAGGGTCCCAGAGTTAGTAGTTGGAGGGGCTGGTATCAGAAGCTCAGGTGACCTGATTATTCTTCCTCACTCCTTCACCTCTGGTGCAGCTGTATCTGAGATCGGTCCGGAGGTGATAAGTCCCCCGTGGGGGGTGACCCAAATATAGGCTGGATAAGCAATAGATCAAGCACTAGAGGAGGGTGGGGAGTTAGATTGAGAGACTTAGGCCTGGACTTGGTCAGCTGAGAAGCCTTACCACCCTCTCCTGAAACCAGATCTATCTTCTGATTGTCCCACGAACCCAAACCCGCATTCACTCCCATTTCCATGGCTTTGTCACCTAATTCTTCTGCATGGCATGTCCTTTTCCCTCGCATGCTCCATCTAACTAATTCCCATCCTGCAGGTTGTAGTAAAAGTCCATCTTCTACGGGAGGTGTTTCCTTACTGCCCCATGTCACAGCCCCTTCCCTGCACCCAGTGGCATATGCCAGCTTAGAACTCAAACCAGACATGGCCCACAGATGTATTTTGCTTTGTTTTATTGCTCCACAGAGTGTCTTAATTTTGTTTTTAATTTTGCTTTTAGGAAAATTGGGAGATTTCCATAAAAATCCAGATTGTCAGCTTCCAAAAACTTACCTCCTGACCTGACATTGGGTCCATATTTCTGCATGACAACAATTTGCTGAAGCTTATTATAAGCTTGCTACTTTACATGAGATTGGTCCAGTCCCTGCTGAGCCTACATCATCCATTTATATTACTTGTCTGGGTCCATAGGCATCTATTTGTAACCTCTGCCTTAGACTGTGGATCCAGGGGGTCTTTAAAGATCTAGCACTACCCTTCCTTCCCCTCCATTCACAGAAGAGCACCTGAGGTCTGGAGAGAGAAAGTAATTTCCCAAGTTCACACAGAAGTTGGTTCCAGTCGAGGACCTCAGCCACATGCCTCTCTTAATCTTACTTGAACCAGATGTAATTTCTAACTCTCCTGGATCTCAATGCATAGGGGCTATAAGTTACTTAGGTGTGGCCCTGAGACTATTTCAGTCCTAAGGAGGGGCCATTTCCCTACCTGGTGAGCTTTGTAAGTGACCCATTTCTCCTTCTTACAGGCTCAAGGGACCCAGAAGGCCTACCTTTCGCCCCTAATACCTCTGCCACCACACACTCTAACCTTAGTGCAAGGTGCTTCTCTTCCAAATTCTCTCCCAGACCACTGAATGGAACATAGTCTTCAGGCTCCCTATGCCCACAATGTTCCTAAGACAAGGTCGTGATCATGAATGTCCTGACGTTTGTATGTTATGGTCCGTGGGCACGTAAGAGGAGACACCAAAATGACAAATTTGGGAAGAGCCACAAGCTTAGGAAATTTTACTAACTCCTGGTTAAGGTTCCAACAAAGAAGCCATTTCCCCACCACCCACTTCACACCGGGAACCTGACAAAGAATCAAACAGTTTCTCATATAATTTCAGGTAAGCTCCAGGGGGTAAGGATGTGTACCCATTTCCTGCATGGAAACATCTAAAGTATCTAGAATAGTGCTTTGCTCAAATCATTGTTGAATAAATATCAAATGAATGGATATGAAGGTATTTACATGAAAATCTTACAAATGTATAAAACCCAAGTTTCCTTTAAATACATACTCTGTAAGTCTTAGCTAGAAAAAGACAGGATGCTATGACATTGGGGCTGCCTAGGAAAATCCAGACTGTGTTCCCTAAGTTCTGGCCAGGCTCAATGCCAGAACAGTTGCCTAAGAGTTGGGGGCTACAACTTCAGAGACCAGCCCTCAACACCATGTTCCCTCCCGAACATTCTCTCCAGCTCAGCCCCAGCCCCCGAGGGAGAGGCCAAAGAGGGATACTGCTGTCAGTGGACTGATAGGCAAGGGCTTGGGCTGCCCTGGCCTGCTTCCTGGTGTAGAGATGACAGCGGTCAGGGTGTCTGACTTGCCAATATGGCCTCCTTCATGCAGCCCCCCCCCCCACCAACACTCACACACAGTTCAGGGCAGAACAGAGACAAAATCACCAGGCTTCAGGGCAAGGCACGTGAGAGTCTCATGCACCCTGGTAAGAGGACTGCCTTTCAAAGTCCAGTCCTCACAACAGTGCTTGCTCAGTCCAACCCAGGGTCTCACTCAGCTCCAGGGGGCCCTGGCTGGGTCACCAGCACTGCTGATCCCTCCAGCTCTGCCCCACTTTGTACACTGTCTCCTCATCAAATGCTCTTCAGCTGAGCTCCGTTGAGACTGATCTGCATCGAAAGAGCAGATGCACTTAGCGCAGAGCCCATTCTGTGTCAGATACTCTTCTGACAAGCTTTAATATTAATCTTCATGTTATCCTATGAGGTAGGTACACTTCCATTTTGCAGAAGGAAATGCAGAGGTCATACAGCTAGTAAGTTACAGGGCCAGGATTCAAACCCGGTGTCTCCAGTTTTCACAGTCTCAACCACTACACCATCCTCCCTCTGCTGCATTATTTATTCATCGATTTCACATCTTTTCATGTTATCACTTTTGCCGAGTTGGGCTCTCCTCCCCGGACAAAGTCAGAGATGTCTTTATCTCTGTGTTCATTTGCTCAGCACAGTGCCAGGCATGTAGGTCTCTAACTGCTGTCTGAATGAGCCAGCCAGTAGCCCTTTGTAAACCATAAAACCCTCTATAGAGGCCACATCTTCCAATCCCAAACCCACAGGCCTCTGGAGACCCGCTGCTGCTGACCACTTGAACTTAAGGAGGCTCTGAGTGCAGAAGGAGCAGGCCATGAGTGATATGCCTCAGCCTCTCAGCCTCGGCTGGCTCAGTAAAGTTTTTTATTATTAGCTCAATCACATAAAATTAACACAAAATGATGTCTTTCAATTACTAATAGGGTGATGGGGGATGGGGAATGTGTGTGTTTGTTCAAACAGCGGGGCAACCTGGGAGAAGGCAGTTTAACAAGAGCAGAAACAGCTGGCCCCAGGCTCTCAGCTCACTCGTCCTCATTAGCGTCTCTGGTTTCCAACCGGTTGCTAATTGCTCCCTTATTTCCCAGTCACAGGAAGCCCTCACCACTCTTTGCTCCCAGCTGCAAGGCAGCAGACCCGCCCAGACTATGCAGGTCCGCTTCCTGGTCAACGAAACCTGGCCCACCTCACCTGGACTTTGTGACCCGCCTCTGCACCAGGTTGGGGGGGTGGGGGGAATAGGTGGGGTAGTGATGCTCTCAGATGAGGGGTCCGGGGGTCAGGCTTGCTCTGACCTGCTCTCCCATCCCCACCCTCCTCAGCCACTTCAGCTAAGTCAGGCCAAATCCAACGTGATAGGAATGACTTAAAAGTCGAAACTTGAACTTGAACTTAAGGAAGCTCTTTGCATCCCCTGGCAGGAATAGATTTTTAGTTTTTGGATCATAATGAAATAGCTGTCTTCTCTTCACCACCTAGTTTAATTAGCAACTGTGAACCCCTCACCTTGGGTCTACTTTACCCCCTTCCCTGATGCTGTATTTTCTGCATGCCACTATCATCATGCAATATTCTCTATCTTCTTGTTCACTGCCTGTCTCCCACTAGAATTAAAGTCCATCAAAAGCAAGCAAACATTACAGATTGGCTGTACACACACACACATGCTCATGTAATTGTGGAGACACACCTGCACACATGTACATACTTATACACACAGGCCTTCACATAACACAAAGGCACATGGTCCTGTATAGCCACATAACCCATGCAACGTGCACACTGCCAGAAAGACATACCATTCTCCTGAATGATGTCGGAGGCACACTGCTCCAGGACAGACATGTTTGCCAAGATGGTCACAATCTGGAAAAGAGAGTTGAGAATCTGAGAAAATGGGCATACCCTAGCCAAGCGGGGTTCTCTACAGACAGCTGAGCTACACAGTTTCCTTTAGCCTGTGATTATTCACCATCCACATGACCCATCCTTCCATGCTATTATCTTCCGTCCTCATGGGCTCCTGCCTCCCAGATGTATTTCCCCAGTGATTGGTTTCCCCCACTCATCCACCAGCATGTGGCCCTGAGATGCCCCCACCAAGGGCCCTAGGACCCCACTGGAGAAAACAGTGTCACCTGAGTAAAGATGGGGGCCCCATCACCTTTCTTCAGGGTACCTCTAGCCCCAGATCCTGAAATGCAGATAGAACTGCCAGACTCCTGGCCAGCCTCTCCCCTGAATTGAGTTTTTGGCTCATCTTAGTGTCTCGTTCTGATAGTGAACCCCACCTACTTTTAATCTGAAATCAATGTACATAAAGGTCAAGTTAGAGGGCATGAGTAAGATCAAAGGGCAGCATTACACCCTAAATGTCAGGTATTGTATGGAATCTGGTAAGAAAGTTCTTGCTCAGCTGGCTTTATAAATCTGTCTTCTATAAACCTTGCCTGTTGGTCATCCCTGGAGAGTTCTGACTGTAGTAAAGAGATGCTGTCACCAGGTGGAGAGAGTGAGCCTTGGTTACAACAGCATGGGCTGGGCCGCCGATAGCCCACCCCACCCTGATTCCTTGGCAGAGTCAATGTTGTAGAGAGAAGTCACTGCAAAAAACTGGATTAAGGAATGGACCCTCATGGGACTGCTTACAGATCTCAGACTGTAAGGTGCCAAAACACCACTGGAAGATGTGTTTCAATGATCTATTAACTCAGATACCACCCAAGACACTGCTCCTGATGTAAATGGCAAAATGAAATGCACCCACTTCCACAGAAGCAAAGAGCACTCTCGAGTGGTAATTAAAATAAATAATAAAATAAAATGGAAAACACTTCTCACTAGTGCAGTTCTCTCTCTCTGTTTCAAAAGGATTCTTCAAAGCTTGTGGCACATTGTAACTGAAGGCTGTGCCCCCATCTCTGAGACAGCAGCTGACAGTTTACTGAGGACAGTTCAGGCAGCTTAAATTCTGGAACTGGATAATGCGTAGTAATGTGACGTTTAACAAGAAAGAGTATTATCTAGATTTTAATTCATGCAATGTTGGCATATTATTCTACATAATCAATGCATATAATAAATCTCTTCTTTGAAACAGAAAGGGAAAAGTCTGCCATATTAATAGAAATTCTATCTACCCCCATCCCCACTTAAACACATGTTGAAAAGGGACATGTGTTCTTAGGTGCTGTGGCAGATCCCCGTGTGTCAGGCCCTGGTGGCTCTGACCTGCTCAGGGGCTTGGCCGGGGAGCCACGTCTGGGATGGGCTGCCAAGGAAGGGACTGGAGACTCTACCCCAGGAGCTTTAGCTCAAAGGCAACTCTGCCCCAGCAGATGTTTTATGAAGGGAGTGAGGGAGGGCTAATCCTGAGAAGCTCTTTTTCCTCCCCTTTTAAGATTGAGTGTGTGGACTACGGGGAGGGAGTTAGAAGGAAAATGTGGGTTGAAGATGTGTTTAAAAAAAATAGCAAGTTGGGGTGCTTTGGTGGCTCAGTCAGTTAAGCATCCGACTTCGGCTCAGGTCATGATCTCACGGTTTGTGGGTTTGAGCCCCACGTCGGGCTTTGTGCTGACAGCTCAGAGCCTGAAGCCGGCTTCGGATTCTGTGTCTCCCTCTCTCTCTGTCCCTCCCCACTCACACACTCTCTCTCTCAAAAATGAAAAAACAAATGGCAGGTTTCCCAAGAAGCATAACGTCTTATGAGGAAGGACACATAAGGCCAAGTCCGTGTCAGACTGCAGTTCACCTGGCTTCACCAGTAGCAGGGGACACAACCTCTGTCCCACCACACAAAGCCACTACATGCCAACCGTTACCAGCCAGGGAGATGAATAAAGATGCTTCCTGGACATACAGATCCAAAAGGGAAGGGAGGATGGGGCGCCTGGGTGGCTTAGTCGGTTAAGCGTCCGACTTTCGCTTAGGTCATGATCTCGCGGTTCGTGGGTTCGAGCCCCGCGTCGGGCTCTGTGCTGACTGCCAGCTCAGAGCCTGGAGCCTGTTTCAGTCTGTGACTCCCTCTCTCTCTGACCCTCCCCTGCTCACGCTGTCTCTCTCTCTGTCTCCTAGAAATAAATAAACATTAAAAAACAAAACAAAAACAAAAACAAAAGGGAAGGGAGGGAGGAAGGAAGGAAGGGCAAAAGGAAAAAGGAAAAGGAAATCTTTGCCTGCAGCATTAGGTTCATTGCATGGAAATCATTAACTGTGTCTCAGGCATAGGTAAGTTCTTTGTGTCAGACTAATTTAGATCCTGTTAATGAAAATTACTTCCTCTTTGCAGAGCCTGTACCCCATGTGGTTTTCTGAGGTTCAGATGAAGTATTCAATTAAGCACAATTTGAATAAATGCCAATTATTCCCTGCTTTGAGTTCCCCTTCTGAATCAGCCTTCTATGCGCCATGATGTTGAGGAAGGGGGGGATCAAGATCTCTCCTTGAAGTCAAGCCCAGGGATGGGATTTTAGGGACAACTGGTTTACCTTGCCAGATACATGATAACGATGCTGTCGGGGAAAAAGAATGCAAGAACCAGGGCAGTTTTCCCCTGGCCCAGGCTAATTCAATACTGTCTGATGATTTTCAATTAATTTCTACTCCTCCTGAGTGAAAGGACACTATTCCCTCTGCAGTTATTTGGTGAATACAGAGGCTATCGGCCTCAAGGGAGGCCCTAGGGGAGAGGCAGTGCAACACAGTGGATATGTTCACCTTTGTTCCAAATACTGGCTCTGTCATTTATCTTCCAAATGATCTTGGCTATCAGTTATTTAACCTTTCCTTGGCTGATGAAGGTATATTAGTTTCCTATTGTTGCTATAACAAATTACCAGACCTAGTGGCTTAAAATGACACAATTTTACCTGGCAATTCTGGAGCTCAGAAGCCCAAAATGGGTCTCATGGAGCTAAAACCAAGGTGCCTACAGGGCTGCATTCCTTCTCGAGGCTCTCGGGCAGAATCTACGTCCTTGCCTTTTCCAGCTTCTAGATGCTACTCCCATTATTTGGCTCTCGGTAAGCCACTCTGACCTCTGCTTCCTTAGTCATAGCTCATTTTCTGGCTCTGATCCTCCTGCCTCATTGTATAAGAACCCTTGTGGTTACATTAGGTTACCCACATCAGTAATCCAGGGTAATATTCCTACATCAAGATCCTTAACTTTAATCAAATCTGCAAAGTCCCTTAAGCCATGTAAGGTAGAATGTTCACAGGTTTCGGGGATTAAGATGTGGACAGCTTTGAAGGGGGGGGTGTCACTATTTGGCTTACAACAGGAGATGCATATATAAGATAATTCATAAGAATGTTAATTTTTTTAATATTTACTTTTGAGAGAGAGACAGAGACAGAGCACGAGCAGGAGAGGGACAGAGAGAGAGAGAGAGAGAGAGAGATACAGAATCTGAAGCAGAATCCAGGCCCTGAACTGTCAGTACAGAGCCCAATGCGGGGCTCAAACCCATGAACCATGAGATCATAACCTGAGCCAAAGTCGGATGTTCACCTGACTGAGCCACCCAGGCGCCCCTAGATAAGTCATAAGAATGTTGGGAGCATTAAGTGACTTAATGTTTCGTCAAGCACCCAGAACATATGTTACATAAAATGAGTATAACTTTCCTCTGGGAAACAGAGTATGAAAATATCCAGATCTGGAAAGATTATGTCGAGGAGTAGTAACCAACGCAATACCAACTACTGGCAAATGTGCTGTTAATGGGGGGATCATTCCTGAAGGGAGGCAGATCCCAGAGCAGAAGGAGCCCTTGCCAGCAGGAAGCCAGAAACAACCCCTGTGCTCATTACCATTCTGGCATTTTGAAATCATTTTTCCTTTGGCCTCCCAGAGACTGACCACCTTAGGAAAACTGAGATGAATAGCAAATTGGCCAGAATAGCTGGGGACCTCCCGTGTCATTGACTCAAGAAGAAATGCCCCATGTAATAAGAAGTTGGCAAAGCCTTTTTATGTCAGCACACACACAGGGAGAGAAAAAGGTTTACTCTGTGCTGGCCCAGGGCAGATGCTCCTCGAACCCTTGTCTGAAACTGATCCCAAGGCATGGGCCAGGCTTGTCCCACACCCTCAGCAATGTCTGCCTGTGATCACACTCTGACTCTAGCTCTGTCCCTTTTATTTTGTATATCATAAACTAGCATTTTCTCTCCTGTAAACCATAAGGACCATACATTATAAAAAATCAAGTGAGGGTTATCCTGCAAAGAAGCAGGTGCACTCATGTGATAAAACTTACAACACAGAAAATCTAAGATGCATTTAATGAAAACTTATGATTGCTTTTCTGCTGTGCGGTAATTAGGACAAAAAGGCCAACATTTCATATGACTGTAATTAGAATTACTCTTTAATTGCTGGGTGGAATATTCAGAGGTCTACCATCACTGTGTTAACTCTCTAAAAGCTATAGCAACAATGTCAAGAGCAGCCAAGACCAGCCAGCAAAATCCCTTTCAGCCTCTAGGGGGAGCCCGGTGCATCTCCCTGTCCTCACATCTTCCCTCCATATCGTTTTTTCTACCAAAGAGCAGAAAGAGTCAAGACAAGGACATTAGTTGAAGAACGAAGGGTTCTGAGAGGGGAAGGACGTGGTCTTTTTGCCCAGGGAGGCCACACAGTCCAAGGGAAGGTGCAGCCCTCTGCTTCTCTTCTCCCTACTAAGCCTCTTGCTCCACGTGACAGGTGTGGTCAGGGGCCTGGGTGAATGAGAGCTGGGCAAGCAGGGACCCACGAGGGTGCCTGCCTCATCCTGGGACAAGCACACTGCTCCCACTCTCGGGCACTCGGATCTTTGAGGCCTGGCCTGCCCTCCTCGCTCCCAAAGATGCAAGACAGGAGGGCTGGGATTTGCACTCAGGAGAGACAGCCACCAAAGGCCATAAAACTGCCTTAGCTATAGGTCTCAAGCTGCTGGTGAACTAGGTCAGGGGACTGTCCCTGGGGGTTGCATCGAGCTGGGGTGTGTGCCTCGCAGGATCAGAGAACACGTAAATCCCAAACCAGGTGCTCTGTGTTTAGTGTTCCCTAGGTTCTGTAGGAGGGGCTGCTGGGGCAGATCGGGACTGGGTGTTGGTTTCCTCCCAGCCTCTCCAGATAGGTATATATTCATTCATATATATCCAGATACAAATAAACATATCCTTTAAGTGGCTTACAGTCTGTATCAACATCCCCCCCCCACCCCCCATACGCACACCACATACACACACGCAACTTGCATATACCCACACACAGACTGGAACAACACATGCACTGACTCACACCACACTACACTTACCACTACCACATTACCTCCATTGTCGGCCCTGCCATCCTTCCCCAAAGCTGGCATTCCCTGCCTCAGACCCATCCCAGTTCCTGGTTCTATCACACACCCCCGCCACATTCATCACTGAGTATCTACTTTCATTCTAACTATTTTATGAGCATTATGCCATCTAGTCATCATACTGACATGGAGAGGGAGGAAATAGATGATCCCCATTACACAAATGAGGAAACTTGTGGTTCAGAGAGGTTAAGTGATTTGTCTAAGGTCACACAGCTAGGAAATGGCAGAGCCAGGACTTGAACTCAGGTCTCAATGAACCCAAAGCCTGTGTTGTTTCCAATACGTCATACGTGTCACATAGGTATACAAAAGGCTTTTACATACACAGGGCTTTTGCGATGTGAGTCAAAATTGTAATCCCTAGTGACTGGCATTTCTGATAATGGACTCCTGATGATTATATTTATGGTGAGTTTTTAGGCATACTACAAAATCTGGACATTCTAAAACACCCAGCAGACAATGTGTCTTCATGGGGAGTATTTACCAGGACCCTCCACCTCTATGAAAGCAATTCAGTTTTGAAGGCCATAAAAAGTCATGCTCCGTGAAAGTTTCTGTGGTGGCCTAGACAAGATGACTGAGTCTCTGTCACCCTAGGTCTCACTGCCTTAAGGGCAGGGCAGAGATGAGGCAGCCCCTTTCTCACACCCCAGGCCATGGCTGTAGCTGGATTCCCTGGGCAGCATGCGCCCTAAAAATTACTTCCTGGGAATGAAAACTCCGGCCACACAGCTGTCTGGTGAGGCAGGGAGTTCTAGATGCATAGTCACATCCAGCACCCCTAGATTAGCAGGCGGGGATGAAAGAGCACAGATCCAAGGTTGCCCTCACTGCTATCCACACCCTCAATGGTGGGTGCGAGACAGGTATGGCCATCAAGGCTCTTGTTAGACAAATTAAGGGAATTCAGCTTGCTGGGGTGACAGAGGGGTTCTCACTTAGATGTTCATGTGGAGGTGGACAAAATATAGATCCAAGACCCAGAGGCTCTGCACAGCACTGGCGTCATTGGCAGATGCATTACCGGAAGCCTCACAGGCATTTAATTTCCTAAGTGTTTCAGGGGGCGGTGAGCACTTCAGAGCCTAATTCATCTTCGTTGTCTTCATTACAGAGAGCTCTCTGATCGCTTTAATCCTCCCCCTGCCACTGGAAAGAGCCATTTGTTTCTTTAATGGGTGCGCTTTCACTCGCTAAGTGGTTGCTCTGAGTCACGACAGAAGGTGGGCAGAAGGTGAAGCTGTCCTGAGGATGGGGTGTGGGGGGAGATGGTTCGTGCCTAGCCCAGACTCAGGGGGAGGGGGGGAGGAGGGGGAGGTAGGACCAGGGAGAGGGAGGGAGGAATGGGGTGATGAGGTGGGGGTAGGGGGAATGGAGTATGGCAGGAAAACTCGGGACTCCAGATTCAGAAAGAATTGCCACCTGCATGGAGCTTGTCCATGGTCTCTCCCCACCCTGGGCCCCTCCTTCCTTCTGAGGAATCAGCGAGATTCTAGGAGGGGAGCCAGTCACTCCTCATAATAAAAAAGGGGTCTCTGCACATAGAGCTTCAGGATGCCTGAGCTGGAAGAGACCATGCCCATTTTAGAGGTAAGGAAACTCCCATCCGGAGGTTCCCCATTCAGGACTGTGTGCCACACATTCAAGGCCAATAATAATAATACTGACACTTGCTTCCATTTATTTGAGTTTCTAAGTACCAGGGACTCTACCAGGAGTTTGCATTCATTAGTTTAATTTAATTTAAATAAATTAATTAAATGATTAATAACTAATTAACAAATAATTTAAAATTAATTAGGAATTGAAATTAGTTTAATTTCATTCTTATTTCAACTTAGTGAAGTATATAGTATTCAACCCCATACACAGATGAGTAAAGTGAGGCTCAGTGTGAATTGCCCAAAGTTACATGATTATAATATAGCAAAGAAGCTTCTATTTTTTCCCATCGAAGGAATAAACTACATGAAATAACTGGAAAGGAATAAATGTCACTAGGGAAAAGTCAACACTCCATTGTGAGACATGGCCTGTAGGAAAAGGAGGCAATTCTAGAGAGCCATCAGGGAAGGCTTTCCAGAAGTTTCTGGGGTAGAAGTTGGACCAGGAATAGGAGAAACAGAGACTGCAGCTAAGAGGCAGGCAGGGATGATCTGGGTTGGCGACAGGAGCATCATCTAACTTAGAGCTCAGGCACCTCGTGGAATTTATAGAGGCCTAAAATCCACCTGATCCACCACCCCCGCCCCTTCGTAGGGAAAAGGGAGGCTGAGTCTGGTAGAGGAGGGACAGGATGGAATTCTATAATCTCAGAGCTCAAGGCTCTGAAAAACCCCTTCATTCAATGTTTTCAAACACAGGTAGCAATGAAACCCCTTTTCTCCAAACAAAACTGTATGTGGAGCCCAAATCTACAAAAACATCAAGACTGATAGGGGAGCTGAGGCTCTGAATCAAGGCTCAGCTCCCAGCCCTGCTTTTATGGAGGCAGAGAAGGGAAGAAACTCTCTGCAGGGTACAGTGACAGACAGGCAGCGGTAAGTCTGGGACAGAGAATTTTAGAGGAGGTCCAGGGACCTTCCCACGGTGTCTCTGACTTCTGGGACACACCACTGTGGGTGGGGACAGAGGAAGGCCCTGCAGCGGTCGGGATGGAGAAGCGACTCATGAAGATGCTCCAAGGGCAATGAGGTATGTTGAGAACATTGTCCTTTGCCTAGAATGTGACTAACAGGACTGACTGTGTGCGGCCAGGCACATTGTCTCCCTCTCCCCCATAATCTTCGCCCTGGCCTCCTAACCTCTGTCTTCATGGCTACAGGCCCTGTGCCTGATCCTCCCCGCCCCCCCCCCCCCCCCCCCCCCCCCCCCGAGCCTCTCACCTGATCCCGGGTGTAAGGTGTGTCCACTCTCTGCTTGTCGCTGCAAGCTTCCAGGAGGACACGGATGGCGTTCAGCTGCAGAAGCATCTCGCAGGCCATCGTGTCAAAGAAGGTGATGTTGGCAAGGGCCGCAGAAGCCAGCAGGAAGACTTCCCCAGATGACGCCTCTTGGCACAGTTCTGGATAGTGAAGAGGGAGAAAGCAGCCTCACTGCCAAGTGCCTTCATACCAGTTACCTCCTTTGATTCCTACAATTGCTCTGGGAGAAAGTCTGGGCAGGTGTTAAGAGACACCCATTTTACAGATGAGGAGAGTAATTCCTGAAGAAGGAAATTTATCTGTCTGTGTAAGTGGCAGAGCTGGGATTTGAATCCTGGTGTATGACCTGCATTTACTCTGTTTCCCAGCAAGTATTTACGGTGTGAACACTATGTGTCAGGCACTTCTGGTGTCTTGGGATGGTCTGGTGAACAACACGGAGCAGGTCTTTGCCCCTGCTAGGTTTACATCCTAGTAGTGGGTGAGAGAAAATAAGCTTTTAAAAGAAATTAATAAAATTATTACAAATTCTAACGCGAGGGAGAAAATAAACAAGTGCTAAGACCGAGAAGAACCAGAGGCCCAAGGGGGTGCATAAGGAAAGTCTTCCTAAAGGATGTGAGAGCTGAGACTGTAAGGGGAAAATGGGGCAATCAGGAGAATACCCGGGGAAGAACATATTCTAGGCCAAAGACAGCAGCATGTACAATGGCCCTGAGGCAGAAAAGAGCTGGTAGTCCAGCATTGTGTCTCCAGCAATGTACGTTAGACTGCTCCTGAATTTGCCTTAAGAAAGGAGCTGAAGTTAAAAACATAAGGACTCCACCTTTCCAGCTGCCATCAGCAGAGCTTCAGGGCTTCTTTGGATCCCAGAATAAGGGCCACATGGCTGTGGAAAAGTCTTACACCAAGCCCCTGAATGCCAGGCTCTGTCTTTCTGATCCTAGTGGCCATAACCCAGACTTGACCATAACTCATCCTCCTGATGAGTCTGATGGGTCTTTAAAGAGGAGAGACTCTTCCCCAGGCCCCATTACCCTCCACTGTTTCACACATTCCCCCCATGGGCTCTACCTGGCCCAGAAGAGACTCCTGCCTCAGGACGATGTGTGAAAGGGCACAGTGGCACTAGCCACACATCCTGGTGGATCTAACTTCTGACCCTCAGCTCCAACTTGACCATCAGTCAAGGTGCTTCCTGGGTCCAGGTCCTCTCCTACTGATAACACACCTATGAAAACACAGGAAGACAAACCACCCATCAGGAAAATACCCTCAGGGGAGAACGTTTGGGAGGAAGGGCTGAGCTACATTGAATCCTGATCCCTAATTCTGGCTTCCAAACAAAGAATCTGTACATCCAGGTTCTAAAATTGAAGCTGGCACCCCTTGGCCCTTTGAGTGAATGCAGTCCTGGCCCCTACCTAAAAAGGGAAGGAAAACAGTATGACTTGAGCCACCTGCAATGTGCCCCGCTCTGCCCCCCTACATTCTGAGCACCCTCACGGCAGAAAATTGCCGCCTCTGTTTGCAGATGTAGAAGCCAAGGCTCAAGGAAACTATGAGTAGCAGCAAGACTCCCATTTACTGAGATTACTCTGTGCAAGGCACTGCTGTATATTTCTGACTTCATGCAGTCATTCCGTCCTCCCAACCACCCAATTTTCTATCGCAATTTTATAGCTGAAGAGTTAAGGATTCCAATATTAAGCCATTTTCCCAAAGTCATGGAAATGAGATTATTGGTATTGTCATGGCCTAGAGTCAAGTCCAGGTCTGCCTGATCCCAGTACCCATTCCTTCTGTGTCCCAGGCTGCCTCTTGACCCTGGGCCTCTTTGACTTTTTCCCGGTGATGTCCCTGCAGAGTTGGGTTTCAGTCCTGCCAGAGGGGCAAGGTCTGTCCCTGGGCAGCACTGTGTCCCTCAGCCCAGGTGTGACCAACAAAGCAACTCAGAGTCTTGATCTAATCACCCAGGGCAGAGCCACAGAGTCACCCAGGAGTTAAGAATTCTACAATTGCTCTTTTCCAATGACTGCCACATCCTCTAAGTTTTGGGACCACTCGAGACAGCCAACCTCTTCCAGGCCACCTCCCTATACTCAAAGTTTGGAGTGAGATGACAGGACTCCCTGGCCCACTTTGCTGTAAAGATTTCTTCTAGATCCAAACACCCACACTAATTCTTATACAGTCACGGCTGCCACCAACGCAGCAATTATTAACACAACCATCTAAGTGCCTTTTAATTTGGGTGCACAATTATTTAAACTACAGTCTGAGTCACCTGGGATGCGTAAGACTGTAAATTGAGGATTCCAGTGACTCATTTATAAATGTTTCCAGGGAATAGCAAGAAATTGGAGGGCTATTTCTCACCAAAGAGCAGAGCCCTGGCATCCTGCCCAGAAGACATATCCTATCTGCTGACTCTCCGAGAAAACTCCACAATGCATCTTCATTGGGTGAAATAAATAGGCAGGATCCCCTTCTCCAGGGAGAAACCTAACTTGGGCAAAGAAGTAGGAATAGAGATATGGCAATAGTGATATTTAGTTTAGACTATGTAGGCTTTGGTGTTTTTATTTGTGGGTATTTTGGCAATCGTTTATACATTGGGAGATTTTCTATAAAACTTAGGATTTTTGTCTTATCTTTAAAAATTGGCCTTTCCTACATGGCAACAATTAATAGGAATGTATCAGTGACCTCTCCCCCTCTCCCCGTCCTCAGTGCCCATGCTTTTCAGTTCCATACACGATTCAAATTTTCTTATTTTCTTCTTTCATCTGGCCCACTTCAACTCATTTAGGATTCCCACTTGGGTCCAGAGGATGGCTGACTATGAGAAAAATGAATCCTAATACTGTTATGTTTCCTCAAGAAGTTTCCTCAACCTCCCTGGGCCTAGGTTTCTTCTACTATCAAGTAAGCTTTTACCTTTACTGACTCTTGAGTTCCCTTCCAGCCAAGACTTTCAATAATTGGCTTCTGTGTTTTCTCAACTTTGAATAAATGTGGATATTGGCAAATTTTTTTTTTTACCCCAGCCTGGCCCGTGGGTGCCACTGCTCCAGTGACTAGAATCAGCCATAAAGTCAGCTTGACTGAGGACCGTTAGGTTCAAAGTGCTCATAGATCTTAAAATTCTAGAGCTAGAAAGACTCAAGAGAAATGGCTCCAACCCCACATAGGAAAATTGTGAGGTGGTAGCATCTCACACAGGGCCTGCACAGGACTGTTGGACAATAGCTACTTGGTGTGTGGATGAATGGAAAGACCGAAAAAAATCCACACCTGAATATTCTGACACCAAACCAAGTCTGTGCTGCCCCTAAATTTGTGCTGTTCCAAATTTTCCCAGCCCTGGTGTGATGATTCCAAGAGTGAACCCTAAATTTTCTGACGAGACAAACTTTCATTCAATTTCAATACGACATGGCTCTGAAAGCCGTGGTAGAAATAAGGATAGAAGTAGAAACACACATCCTACGAAAGGAAGGGTGTGGTTTGCAAAACAAGTTTCCCGAGGATTTGACCCAGACAAATCCCACTTTATGCCATTTTGCAAAGGAAAGTTGGAGGAAGAGAGTATTCTAGTTCTCAGTCTATGATTCTCCAACCAGGAGGATGTGAGTCTGAATAGGAGAACCTATAAGAGTCAGAGCTCTCAAGGCCTCGTGATGTGGGATCAGGGTGGGGGGCTGCAGGTGGCGGGCTGGGGTGTGCCAGTGCCTTCAGAGAGGCTCTTTGCCTCGCCATTGCTGCCACATTTATTGGGTGCAACAGGTCTGAGACTTTAGGAACAAAGCCCATCAGAGTCTCTCTGGCCAAGGATCTGAACCCCCAAATTCAAGGCCCTACGCTTCTCCATGGGGCTTGTCCTGGTCTCCAATCTGAAAGGCCAGTTAATCCCAATGTGACCTCAACTCAGGGAGCTTTTCAGAAGGCTGTATGCATTTTAATAGGAACTTTGACAACAGAGCTCTTTAGATCCTGACGATGACACAGTAACAGTGGGATTTCAGCTAGCGTGACATCAATTCAGGAGCTACGTGGGGTGCAGAGAGTGTGGGCGTGGGGGGGCAGGAAGGCCTCATTGGCCTCTCTTGAAGACAACTGTGACAAGTCCCACTCACACAGCAGGCCCCTCCCGCCCAGGGTGACTCACTGACTAGAGCAGTCACGATTTCTTCCATGCTCTCCAGAAAGCTGCTGAGGTGCTGAGTAAAGGGCAAGTGTGGGGAGGTGACCTGGGCAACCACAGCCGCAGCCTCAGCCCGTGTGGCCTCTGAGTGGCTGTCATCGGTCAGGATGTCGGCCAGGCACAGAACGCCGTCCACCTGCAGAAGAAGAGAGGACACGTCCCCATGTCTCCTGGGAGAGAGCAGCACTGCTCATGACAATAAAGAGACAGACGCAAACCCCTTTCAGGGTCCAGCTCTGGACACCCAGAACAAGCCAGGACTGTGTGTGGAGCCAGGGGCAACCTGGTGGCAAGGCTCTCAGAATGACCCCAAGTCCAGCTTCTAAAGAACTATCCTTTGGCTCCAGCAGAGATCAGTGACCTCCCATGGGCTTCTTAGAGAGCAGGCATCAAGCCAAGTGCCCAGGGGCAAGGCCCTGACCATCTACCACAGCAAAATACAGTAGAAAGACCAGTCACCTAATACTCCCACATCCCCAAGCTCCAACCCCAGATCCCTCTTACTTGTACTGTGTGACTTGGCATTAGTTGCTTAACCTCTCTGAGATTCTGTGTCCTCCATTCACAAACAGGGTGCTAGGGAGGTGATGACACAGGCGATGCAGATCCAGGAAAGATGCTTGTTAAATGTTGCCTCCTTCCTCCCTTCCCTGGGTCAGTACTAGGTGAGATCAACATCCTTCTCCCATCCTGTCCTCCACCACCTTCCCCCCCTACGAAGAGGGCTGCTTCCATAGAGGTTTGCTCTCTCTGCCCAACCAGAGAGGAAAGAACCTGGGCATGGTGGGATGGGGATGCCAGAGAAAGACTTCAGCTTCCCAGCTCTGGCCCGATCAGACTTCATCTTGCCTCAGTGACATCTTCTGCTTAGCGCGTGCTCACCACGTGCCAGCCAGCCCGCCAAGTGCAACGCATGTACCACTTAGTCCTTGTAATAACTCTCTGAGGCCAGTATCGTTAGTATCTCCATTGCACAGAGGAAGAAACTGAGGCACAGAAAGGTTCCTTAACTTGCCCCAGATCAGAAACTTTAAAGGTAGTTGGTTTAGAATTTGAACCCAAATCGTCTAGCCTCAAAGCCCATGGTTTTTATCAGGACATCATACCGTCTCCTGAGTGGCAACGCAACTCAGACCCTCCACCTCCAGCCCGGGTCAGTAGATGAGGCCTTCTAGAGAAAGGCTGGAATCGGTGGGTGGGTAGTAACTTATCAGGGTTAGCTCGGCAGGGCTCCTGCAGTCCCGTAGAGGCCCCAGGACACCAGCCTGCCTGAGGATCCTGTCACCAAGCACCAAGATGTCCTTCCCCTGTTAGGAGTCGGGGGTAGGGATGAGACCAGGGAAGAGCCAGGGAGAGATGAAGGGAGGATGCGCCTGTGCTGATGCTCCCCATACCCGCCAGAGGCCCAGGGCTCCTGTCCCTAAATCCTCACTTCCTGCCACTCAGCTTAAGTGGGTCTCCAGAGGTCAGTGTTTCCTTTGACAAATTACCACCACGGAGTTCTGGGCCTCCCTTAAATGGCTCTCGGGAGCTGTAAGGTCCATTAGCTGTAAAAGCCCTTGGCAATCTGGGACTCAAATGAGACAAATGTGGGAGCAGGAGCTGGGGGAGCTGTCCGCAGTAAAACTCAACCTATGTACCTAATGACAAAGAACAAACAGCAGCCAGGTGGCTGCTGGCAGGCCTGGAATCATGCTGGGTGTCTGACTAACAGGCCTTCAGAGATGGGCCTCACTTGGGCCCAGGGAAGGGAAAGGGGCTGCCCTGGGCCTGAAAACAGGAAGCAGCCCTATTGCCAACCTAACAAACCACTTAAACCTGTCTGGCCTTTATCCCTTTCCCCTCCCAGCACTAATCAAGGTTATAGCTGCAGGTCTCAAGTATCTGGTCTCCTCAATCTGACCTTGGATACAAATGGAGTTGCATCCCCAAACCCAGTTGAGAATCTGGTCAAACCCAGACCTGACCCAAACCTAGTCCCCAGCACACATGGAGATGGGCCAATCTGAACACACTAGAGAGGCCAAGGAGTTAATGGTCTCCAAGGGCTTGTGCCATCAAGGCCTAGACACCGGACCTGCTTCCCAACCCAGGATGCTCCTCAGAAAACCCACTGAGTATGATCTTCCTGAGTACCTACTGGGTGCCAAGCAGAAGTGAGCTAGGGCAGGGTGTTTCCTGCAATGGGGCAGGTGACTCATCCGCAAATAACCATTTTACAATGTGATTTCCAATAAGGATACCCTACGGGGAGCCACACTGGCTTAATGTCCACACTCTAGCCGGGGGAGGTGGCCCTTGGAGCTCATGCCCAAATACATCTGGTAACACCATAGCATTTATCACACTGTTCCTCCAAGTGGGGTCTGTGGAACAGGTGCACTAAATCCACTAGGGGTTTCTTCAATGCACATTCCTGGGACCCCCTCGACCTATTCAATCGGACTCTAGGGAAACCTGGAATCTGCTTTTTAATAAAGTATAAGATGACTTTATGCACCAACAATTTGGAGCAGCTCCACTGTGATGTGATTCTCTCTCCCTTGTCTGTCTCCCCTGTTCCCCTGGACGCTCTGTAAGCCTGGGTACCACACACAGCTTGTTCGCTTTGGCTGCTCCAGGCCTCACACAGAGTAGGCTTTGTGGGTAAGAAATGCAAGTGAGTAAAACTTGACTCAAGACTTGAAGACACACTTTAGAGGAGTAAAGGAAGAGGAATGGCATTGCAGATGGAGGAGATGTTGTGGACAAAGACCACTACCAGAAAGAGCAGCTCCAGAGAAACCGTCAACTTGGGAATATGGATTCCACAGATTCCGAACCCAGGAAAGTAACCCTGACCTAGCCTGATTCCTCTTCTGTCCTTAGGTTCCCGAAGAAGAGTATCTGTGTCATCCTATCTATGTAACTGTCCACAGCTCTGTTTTCCTTCTAATTTATTTTATACACTTCAGATCTCTTTTGGTATCTTGTTAATTAGGAAATACGTCATCCCTTGAAAAGAGAAGACGTGTGTGTTGTGTGTATTACAAATTTATGAAGTATAAAAAATAATGAAATGAATAACTATACATGTATATGTCTAATATCCAGAAAGTCTAATATTAGGCATGAAATAACACCAGAAAGACCCTGTATGCAGTTATTGATCTCCTACCTCTGCTCTTCACTGTTGGATGGGCCACTACCCTGAATTTTGTGCTTATTACTCCCTGATTTATTGCATGTGTACATTTAGTTTTACAAGGTTTTGAAGTTGACACAAGTGGTATCAGACTGTGTATAACAATTTGGATTTTCCACAGTCAGCATTATGTTTGGGAAACTCCTTCCTGTTGGTCTATGTGGCTAAGGTCCATTTATTTCACTGCTGTGTGGTATTTCATTGTATAAATTGACTGTAATTCATTTATGTATTTTCCTGTCGATGGTAGTTTGAGCCATTTCCCAGTTTTTTCTATAATGTACAGTGCCTCTATAAATATTCTTCCAAGTGTCTTCTGGAGTATATGTACCAGATTCTCCAGGAATCTCAAATGAGGAGTGGAATTACTCATTCATAGGATCCGCACATCTTTAATTTTACTGATATTGCCAAATTGTTTAGCAGAACAGCTATAGCAGTTTATAGCCTTACCAGTAATGTATAAACTCAACTCCATATTCTTGTCAACATTTGGTACTGTCGGATTCTAAAATTTTGCAGTTTGGTGAGTATATAGAATTTTCATTTTAATATGCATGTCTTCGCTTTTTATAATAAAGCTAAGTCTTTTCATGTTTTCATTTTACTTTGATTAGGTTTGGTTTTGATTTTGGTTTTTGCCATTTGGATTTTCTCTATTAATTGCCTGTTCATGTGTTTTGCTCACTTTTCTATTTGGTGGATTATCACATGGGTCAATTTCCTGGGCTTTTGGCTAATGACCTGCCACTTAGCCTGTTGTCAACAAGATACCACTAGCCCAAGTTGATTTCCATGTGCATCATTATCTCAGCAGCCCCAACCCAACCAGCTCATCACAGTGGGAGGCCCTTAAAGGGACCACTCCACTGGGCTTCAGGCTTCCCAGCACCTGAACCATTTTCTATAGCATCCAAACATGAACAGGCTCTGGAATTACACCTCCCTGGGTCTGAATCCCATTTCTGCATCTTACTAGCTGCACACTTTTTATATTTACTTAGAGCCTTTCTTTATAAGTGGGGGTAAAAATACCACTCTCAGAGGATATTGGAAGTTAATGGAGAAATGCATGTACAATCCCACCCCATCCCCATCTGATGGTTGCAGCCATCTCTAGATCTGGGGCCCTGAGTCCTACTCACCTTTTTGTAGGCTCTCAGAGACTGAGACACCACTGGGTACCTCAGCCCTTTGGGTTGGGGCCCACAGGTTTCCCCACTTGTTTGGACACCTCAGCTCATGCAGCCCAGAACTAGGACTTTTAAAAGGGGAGTGACTCCTATTTCAATTCCTGACCAACACCAATAAGATGAATAACTATAATCCCTTATAAGAGAACAGAGAGAAACGTAGTATAATTCTGCATCTCTGATAGCTCATCAGACATTAACTGTGCACCTATCTTGTGATGGACTGAACTAGGCACTGGTACAAAAATGAGTCAGGAGGAAACAAGAGATGGAAAAATGAAGACAGACACATAGAGAAATTAAAGGAGATAGGGAGAGAGATCACATGCTTAAAAAGGATTTGGAGACTTGTCTGCTACAGAGCCCAGCCTCCCAGTCCCTCTCTGATTTGGCCTTTACAACATCTCTCCCTGCTGGGAACTCTCTCCATCTTGGTGCTCTCTCCTGCCTCTGACTCTGTGATACCCCATTTGGGGGGCTCATCTCCTCCCTAGTGAAATACCATGTATTTAGTCTCTCCTTCGTATCCACCTAAGATAGCTTACCCCAGTTTCCCTGTCAGCCCCCTTTGTACCATCACAGTCAATAGTACCCAAGACAAGTAGCCTCAGTGACTCACTATGATGACCCCTAAACCTGGCTTCCCAGTCCTGACCTTCTTTCCTGATACCCATATCTACATTTGCAATCTGCTACTGGATCTCTTAATGTTTAACTCCAAAACTAACTTGCCTAAATATTCCACAGGCCCCTCACACC